AATCAATCTTCCTTCTACTCGCATGGACTGAAGAGGGTTGAGGCCCATGAGAGCGTGTAGAGAGATCTCGGCTCTGACAGGTTCTGGTTCGCCTGATATCAGTTCACAGTCTTCGATGTGCTCTGGTTCTGTCCCCTCCGGTTCTTCCTCTATTTGAAGGAGAAATACTCGCTGGACCCGGCACTTATGGCCTGGCCCAAACTTGTCATCACAGTTGTAACAGAGGCCCTTCTCGCGTCGGGCCTACATCTCAGCCCACGAGAGGCGCTTGAAAGGCACAGTGGGCCTGGGCAAAATGGGCTTCTGAGAATCCTCAACTTGTTTCAGGGGTTGTTGTTCGGCCCGCTGGGGAGCCCTCACATTCAGGTAGGATGGCTTGTTGGTCCTGCGCATGCTATCAATCTTCTCTTCTTGTAGGNCGAAGAGCTCTCACTTCCAGGCGGATGTCTTCTCTGAGACCTCCCACAAAACACCCTACCAAGGCCTTCTCCAGCCATCCATGTACCCTGGTCGCCATTCTTTCAAACTCGAGCTGGTAGTCTGCTATTGTCGGTCTATTTTAGTCGAGTGAGGAGTTCGTCGTAATCCACGAACTCCGTCGGCCCAAAACGGATGCACAGAGCTTCCGTGAACTTCACCCAAGTTGCCTGAGGATGGGCTTGTCGATACCACTGGAGCCAGAGAATAGCGTCTCCTTCTAGGTGAATGGAGGCGATGGCAACACGCTGGTGTGCAGGGGTTTCATGATACTTGAAGAATCTCTCTGCTCTGAAGATCCAAGGAATGGGATCTCCACCGGAATAGTTGGGAAATTTGATTTTAGTAACCTTTCCGACAGGGTAAACCCCAGTTCCCTGGCTACCAGAAACAGAGGCGTCGGCCCCTATTGGATGACTGGTCTTGTCGGATTGTTGTTGGGAGGCAAGGTTAGAGATGACCACCTTAAGATCCCTGAGTTCGTTCAGTACCTGGTGGAACCCAATCTCAAGTTGGTCGACTCTATCTTCCATGGTAGAGGATCTTGTCTGCGGCATAGCTGG